CTTTGTCTTCTCCTCCTTAGTCCTCATTCGGTGGTGGAGCCACCAAACTTCTCCGCCACATCCTCCTCCCCAATGCATAGTGTCAGCTCTAGGCTCTTCAACCACACTTTAACTCGCTCGATTGCCGTCGCTTGACTCATTACCCTCTGGTTTGTCCCATTAACCTGCTATTTTGAAGGTATATTTTTCCTTTTGGGTTTGAAATTTTACCTTTTTCTTTAATTTTGATTTTTTTTATTATTTTGCATCTTATCTTGAGAATTAGGGTTTGAATCACTGACATCAATTTTTATGGTATGTATCTATCTATTTAGCAAGAATGTCAAACTTAACATTTATTTTTTCTAGAAAAAATTGCTAGTCTTCCATGACGATATATTGTAGTCAATACATTGTTTGAAGTATCTAATTTAATTTTTACGTTGAGTTTTAATTATTTAAGTTTTATGCAGTTTCTTCCATTGCCTAGCATCCCAATCTTTTGGATCTTGTTCCGTACTTATTCGCACTAGTTGCAAAGGCAAGTTAAATATCTTAAAACCATTATCTCATTATAGTGCTAGTCATTGTTGCCTAATCCGTTTATACAGATAGCTCTGAAATTGAGAAAGATTTCTTGAAACTTCTACTAAAAATAATCTTAGGGCCCGTTTGATTGCAATGATAGAATTTGGGTAAAAAGAAAACAAATTCCAGGAAATTGAATTACCTATAACTTGTTTTTCTGAAAATTATCAATTAATGTGTTTGATTGGTATAATTTTTTTCACGGAAAATGATGAAATTTTTTATCCTTTGGTGTTCGTTTAATTTTGTTTTTCATGAAAATTGTTAATTAAAGGGATAAATTTTTTTACAATTGTTGATAAAATTTGTTCTCTTTGTTGAAAATAAAAAAATAAAAGAAATTAGAAAACCAATTCTCACCGTTTTGGTGAGAATTGATTTTCCACCAAATCATGGAAAATGCACATGTATGGGGAAAATATGGAAAACGAATTCCATGAAAAACTTTTGTTATCAAACACACAAAATTGGTGGAAAATAGAATTTTCATTTTCCATGGAAAAAAGGCCAATCAAACATGGCCTTATTTTCATATAAGTTGTGGAATTTCTTGCTTACGTCCGAAGCTTAAATAAAAGAAATTGATCTAATACACAGGAAAAACAATAACTAAGACTACTAACAAGTTTATTTTCTTAAATTGATCATTTTCAGGGAAGTGAGAAGCTTCTTCATTTAGTCACTAATGATTCCACTTGTCCGAATCAGCATCTTGAGAAAAAAGACGTGTGAGAGTACAGAATCAAACTCTGATGAAGTGATGATTTTGTTGGTCCTCCAGGGGTAGGTGTTTTAGGCCCCGTTTGGTAGGGATTTTTTGCCCCAAAAAATTGATTTTTTGACCGTTATTTTACTATTCAAGCCGTAATTTTT